AACATATCCAGTCGGATTTCTCGAATTGAGTCCAAAATCATCGACACTGCAGGATTTCTGGGGTCCAGAGACTACAGGAAGAAATGAATAGGATGAATGAACTGGGCAAGATGGTTTCAGATTGTTAACCAACACACAATTAAACAGATTTAAAAATGAGTGCATATGAATACGTTCACTGTGTATCTAAAATATTCAAATGAATTTATCTGTTCTTTTTTTTGCACTCTCCCTTTGCTGTCATATTGTAAAATGTATGTGCTTTAGAACAATTAAAGGATTTGAGATGTTACTTTAAGCTCAAAGAGACACACTGGTTTCCCTACAGCCTACCACAAAGCCATGAACTGCATTTGACTTAATGGTTTACAACCCTATCAAAGTCTGCTTCTCCTCAGTCTTACACAGATTTTGAATATACTTGAAGTAAATGTTTTACTCAGAAATACACAATTGTCAGCTCAGCAATCATTTTACTTAATCATTGACATATTGATGATACCATAAAAATACATTATTTGCCACAACTTTGCAATTTATATTCAATTTTAAATTGAATAATCAATTTCTTGCACAATTAACGTATATACAATATCCTGCATTATATTTTGTAACTGGAAATTTCTATTTCCACTTTTTTTTTTAATGCTGTTTTATTACAACTTCAGAAATATTTTTTCAATTATACATTGCCTTGTTTTTTTATGCTGCTGCAACCCAACATTTCCCAAATTGGGATCAATAATGTTGGGGAAATATTTTCCAAGGCCCATAACTTTGACCCAGTGTATCAGTTCAAACTGTCCTCACTGAGCTCAGGCACCTGTAGCCTTGGCTGCTGTGCTCTCAGTGTTCTGTCTCCCTGTTCCTGCCTGTTGGCGTCAGCTGATAGAGGTGTGATGATTCTATCTTGTTATGCAGCATGTTGATTATTCTCTCAGAACTAGCTACAGTAAATACATGAGTCTGGGGTAGAGCTCTTCAGAATTGATTTGGCATCTCTACCCTGTGGTCAGACCGTGACCCGTGACTTGTCTTGTGAGTTCTCCGGCCGAAGCTCCAAATAAACCGTCAGTGTTTTCCATCAAAGCTCCAGCTCTCCTCGTGTCTCTCTGAGTCCTGTCTCCAATTGCTTCAGAAGTTTCCCCCACAAATAAAGTACTTATCTATCTATCTATCTAACTCATTATGAAAAAGGTTAAATGAAGTCTGATTCGTACCTTGCCGGGGAGAAGATCGAGAGCTTCGTCCAGAACATGAGAGGCTTTGGAGAGGAGAAGCTTCCAGACGGGCCTCGAGCTGCTGGAGTTTGAGGATCGATCACACATCAGAACCGCCGCTAAATGTTCTGCTTTCAAGCCCGACAGCTGTGAGACGAAAGAGCAGAATGACAACAGGTACACATAGTGCCACTTTCTGGTGAAAACTTACATTTTTGATCCTGAAAATCAAAAAATGGACTCAGCTATAAAGGAATAAAGGAATTCAAGCATCCTCAATAACCCCCAAAACCACTCCCAAGTTGTCCAAAGTCAACATTTTTAAAAATTGTTTAGGTAGGCTTGGATTCCATTCATTGCAACGCAACTTGTGCTAATTCTGCACATTTCCCAACATATGCAAGTTAGCATCTGGAAGTTTCTATGTGCTGGGGACCCGTACTATACATTTCTATCATAAAACTTTGCTGTACTCAACATTTCCGGGTTCACTATGCTGGCAACTAGACTATACCGTAGGATTTCATGAGAAAAGTGACTAAAAATATCATAAAAATGCAGTTGAGAGAAAAAATATGTCTCAGTGGAGTACAAGTATACTACACAAGTCAACTTTGACTGTGTATATACATATTGGCACACATATTTTTATATTTTATATACATTTGTTTTTATATTCGGGATTGTGTGAACAGTATTTTGATCCCTCTGTCTGCACACACAAACTGAAAGATTGACAATAAAGTTAACTTTGACTTGACTTTGAAGTAGAAAGTAGAACGAAGGGGAAATAATCAATTAAAGAACAAATACTCTGTTGTTAAATACTTGAATAAAAGTACTGCGTTTCACCACTTGAGATGTTTTATGTCTTACAGAAGCGCAGGCGTATTCCTCCACAGAAAAGTCACAGAAGTCTCCGAGCATCTGTCCGCTGTTCAGGCTGAGCTGCAGCTGTGTGCTGTAGTTTCACAATAAACAAGGAACATTAAACATTTAGTGACAGTTTGATAATACTAAATGTTCAAACTATCTCAAAGTATGATTTATATAGAGTGTAACCCACCTGTTCACTCCAACACAAATGTCAGTTTCTATGAGAAATAAGAAGAAATAGATGTATTTAATTGTTTAAGATATTGAATATCGTATATTGTTTTCAGGCAATGAGAGAACTTACCGTTTGTCATGGTGACATTGCACTGGAGGGGGAAAAGATTAAGACGGTTTAAGTATTTTAACATAAATCTAATTTAAGATACACAATATTGAACAAGAATAAATCACATTTATGTACCTGTCCGCTGTAGATGATGCAACCTGTAATAAAAGAAAAAGGAATTAGTTCATGGAGTAGAGCAGGGGTGTCAAACTCAAATACACAGTGGGCCAAAATAAAAAAATGGGTACTAGTCGAGGGCCGGACTGGTTCAATGTTTATTGTAAAACTTATTGAAATGAACTTATTGCACATATTAAACCTGGAACTAACAAAGCTTAAATTATTGCCTATAAAAACAACATTAAACATTAAATAATCAGCTGCATTCATTTCTTATGGCTCTATCTGCAGCTTCATTTCTTATGATTACATTTTTCCACAAGCCAACAACAGCTTCAAAAAAAAAATTTCCCCTCAAAGAACAAACCAAACGTGCTCTGTTGTCATGAGAGAAAAAGTGCAAAAGGAAACATCCATTTAAACTCAGTTTGCTGCTTTGATGCTAGTTCAAGCCAGATACTTGGCATCTCACCTCGGGTGCAAGTTCATCAATGATTGGGGTCAGGCTCTGAGCTGAGGAAATCCTCAGGAGTGAGTGAAGGTGTGCGTGCAATATACCGGCGCGCCAGATCTAATAGTAATTAGAAATTATCCTGCGGGCCAAAATGAAATCCACCAAGGGCCTGATTTGGCCCCCGGGCCTTGAGTTTGACACATGTGATTTAGTGTGTACTAAACAGCTAATATCATGAACACAAACTCTACTTTTCAGTGAGTCTACCAGACTTATCTCAAGTTACATATTTAAACAATTCTCAACACTATTTTAATCCTTTAATAGTACCTCTTTACATTAACTACCCCCACTTATAAGAAAACATATATTAAATGGTTTAAAACACACTCTAATGTAGTTGTAGGCAGCCATAATGATATTTCTAAATGATTGTTAATCTAAAGTATTTCTAAAGAAACTCTATAAAGATTTATTACAACTGTGTTGTTTTTATTTGTATTATGTTCAATTCATACACCACCCCACTATGATTGTTTGCAGGGGAGGTGTTAAAGCTGTTTATTAATAAAGTATTTACCACCCATAACTGCTTACAACGGTATTGCATGTCTAACATGTTCGCACACTGCTTCCGACTGAAAACAGGGGCCTTTTTTAATCTAGACTCTCTAGGGCATCATGCAGGGCTTTCCTAATGAGGATTATTCTCATGCTAATTTGTTCTTATCAACAGAAAAAACATGTCCCTACCTGACTCGTTTTATTTTCCTGTGATTTATATATGTATAGGCAGCTAAGCAACCGTTTCGTGATACTCTAAGTTTTGCTGTGTACTGTAAAGGAAGTCTATTCTGGATGCATCATAATAGCTACAACAAAACACACATCAAGCTAAACAGATACATGTATTGAAGGTCAAATGTTTATACTCACACTGGACCTGCATGGTCATCATCTGAAGCAACAAGGGAAAATATGGAGAAATGAGAACCATCAAATAAAAAAATCGCAAAGTAGTTAAGCACATTGATGAAGAGACATTTTTTGTTTTTTACAAAAATCATAAAGCATTAAAAACAGCAGCTGAGAATGACACACTCTAAGATGTTCATGTTTCAACTATAATGCATGTACAGACTGTTATGGTCACTCACAAACAGACTGAATGCATTTAAATCCACAACACCACATTAAAACAATTATAACGTAAAAACTAAAACAATACTGTTGTCATGCAGACAGGCAGAGCTCACAGAGAACAGCTGTTCTCTAAGCGAGGAGCAGATCCATTCATATCAGCCCTGAGGGCAATAAAGTCATGGAAGCTGCCTAAAACAGTATTCATATTTTCAATTATGTACACTGGTTTGCATGCCATTTCAGTGCTGCAGTTTGAAGCAAAAGTTAAGTTACCACTTAAATAAAATCTTAAAAAATTTAGATTTGCACGGCACTCAATGTTGATGCTCAACAGAACGGTGAACTGTTCTGAGAGCTGGGAAAAGATGAGGCTGAATGCTTATTAGGGCTGCACGATATATCGTGTCGTGACGATAATCGTGTTATGCGCATGCGCGATATTGACATCGTGCGATTTAAAAAAAATAATGAAGTAGGCAAATGAAGTCAAACACGTCATGTTACAATTATTTTGCTGCTTGCTACAAAAGGAAAACTCGCGCGGCTCTCATGTCAGGGGTACTTGAGTGAGTGACATGCAGGCTCTGCATACAGCACACACAGCAGGATAACCGAGCTAGCTCAGCCTGTTGCTCTGATAACTTAAGATCCAGAAGTCCGTGACTAAAATCCTTCATCCGGTTAAATATTGTTGAAAGAAATATCAATTGTATAGCATTAAAGTTCAAGAAAGGATGGTTTGTGGACAAAAAAAACTGTCTTTTCTTCAATTCCTGAATTTTTTTATCATGTATTTATAAGAAAATATCGCAATGTCAGTTTTTTCCAATATCGTGCAGCCCTAATGCTTATTGATATTCATAAAGCATGCAAACTCTCACACTTACCACAAACAGGATTTAGGTTTTGCAATTTGGGGAGGATGGGAAATATTTCAACAATCTGTTAAAAAAAAGTCAACAGCCAAAGCTAACCTGTATAAAATATGGAGTTAAGGATCTCAAGCAAGAATTCGCTTTGTGATTCACACGATCTCGTCTATTTTGTGCAGATTCTCAAGGTGATTAAAACATCATGTAATGATCAAATGTTCCTGCACAGCGCCACTGACTGACTGTCAAAGCTTTGAGCTGGACGGTGCATCTAATTAACGTCAACATTTTAATTTGAGACAAAAAGTCACCCAAATAACAATATTGCATTATTTATGATATAGTCGGACTATTGTAAATGATGTACTCGGGACAATTAGAAGATTCCCCACTGGCATTGGTAGATTATATACCTAAATGAAGTGACTCGTGGTGAAGTTTGCAGCAGCTTGGGGACAGCCCAAGGTCCCTGGAAAGCCGTTAATAATTGAAACTGTCCGCAACACTGCAGTATCATATTTCTCATGAATATTAAATACATGAAATTGTCCTGACAAGGTGCGACCTCTTCTAACATTGTCTGCCTCTCGGGTCAGCCTCGGCAAACTAAATTATTGAATGCAGGCAGAGCACAGTGCCAGGTGAAGAAGTTGGAGTCTCTGGCAAAGGGATAACTTCAGCACCAGACACCAAAACACAGTGTGCCTCCTTTCCTAGGCACGTCATTAGCGATGCATTAAGGCTTTGCAAAAAAACTCACAGGAGAGAGATTGATGTCAACGATGGACAATATAACCAGTTATCCTCAGATATATTAAAAACAGTGGAATTATAAAACACCTTGGCACCACCATGGGTGACTCACCGTCTTGTAAATCATCGGGCTTCTTGCGCTTCTCATAAACGACGATGATGACGATCAGGATGATGATCTCGGCCAAAACCCCAAGGAGAGGCCATAAGGGGGCCAGGTTGCTGCGGACCCTCAGCACGATCTTCTCATCGCGGGTGCCCAGCATGTTGGTGGCGTTGCAGTGATACTCGCCCGGGTCCAAGTCAATGTCCAGGCTGGCGATGTGGAGCTCGGTGTAGTTGTCTCTGCTGCTGATGGTGAAGCGCCCGCTTGAGTTGTCAATTTCCTGTCAAAGGAGAAGAAATAAATACTTAATAATGTGTAGAGTGTTTTTTTTATTTGATTCTTTTACATGCTTTTATATTCTAGTAAAGTCCAGGTTTTGAAACGATTTCACAACATTGAATTATATCCTGTATTACAGCTCCATGTTATAAAAGTGCCACTTCCTTTAACTGGCTCCCAAATGTGACTTATTTTAACTATTTATGTTTTATTTGTTAATGTAACTATTATTATCTTGTTTTAATTTATAGTATTCTATTTAATTTAAATCTCTCTACTTTTTTGCCTTGATTTTATCCAATATAAAAAAGGCATCAACTTTTTATATATTTGTTAATATAAAACAATTATGTACAATACATGATTTTCTATTTGACGTAATCTTCTTGCCATAAATAAATCACTTTGTGAATTTTGTATTGCCTATTACAGTAACTCCTAATAAGTACAGCTTTGCAAAGAATCAAGCAGATATGAATGCATTTGTAGAAAATGTTAGCTTAAGCTAAAGTATATTAGATAAGCAGGTTTAACATTTTAACCTCAGTGTCCCTTATGCTTGGGTTGCTAGCAGAGGATTTCTTCTAATGCAGGATTGTGTAGACACAAAAACACTAGAATTACATGCTACAAAAAACAATTATATACAGTACCAACCAATCGCTACCCTTTGAACAATTGCATAGTATTATTATGTGTTCCTTTCATCTAATGCATTACAGTACAACACTTGAATTATAAACTCAGTTAAATGACAGTGTCAAAATAAACTGAACATTATAACCTTCTTAAATGTGGTACTTCTATCGGACTGACATTGTAAACAGGTGTTTAGGAAGAGTTTATGTATAATACCACATACCCTGGGAAAGCCATTGTCGAATTTGCGCCAGTTCCAGATAGGATAAGGATATCCGGTAGACTTACAGTAGAGCACAGCGACCTGGCCCTCGTTCTTATTCTCACTACGCTTGTGGCCTATAATGTCAGGAGCAGCTAAAACAAGAATAGCAAAAGAAACATAGATTAATTGTTACAATACATTAAATAAATTCACATAAATGTTACAGTCTTACTGTAGGTGCAGGGATCCAGTCAATGGGTAACTTATTTAGGATTTCCTACTTCCTTTTTCAAAGTAGAGACTGAATACAGTAAGTTATTTTAATTGCCTCAGTTTTTTTTAAATACTCGTAACCTAAATAATGATTATGGAAAACTGCCAAATGTTTGTGAGACAAAGCACAAAGCAGACAGAGATAACACAAATTGTATTTGGCATTAAAAAAAGCTGCACGAGGGGAACTTTGCAGCAAACAGTATTGCTGCATTATTTGTCATCAGCCTGTGAAAATAAATTCTCTGTAGAATAAAGGAAAACAAAAAAAAATCAAATTTGCCTCTATAACGATGCGTGTGACAGCAGAAAAGGCTGACCAGATTTTAACGTTGGGACATAATCCCTCACCATCGGACAAACAAGACACCATCTGGTGCCACTGAGCCGGGCCCTGGTTAGATGGAGGTGTCAAGGGCGCCTGCTGCCCCGCGAGCAGCCAGCAGGGTCGTTTGAAATCACAGGTCCTCACATGACCGAGCTGCTGGGGCTCAAGGCCATACGGGCCATTTTTAATGGTGACACCTCTAATGCTGGCCTTGAAACTGACAAAGACGCCTGCAGATCAAAAATCAACACCTACATTTGACTTCTATGGTGGCGTTTGCTGGAGGAGCCGTCTCGAAGGTGTAGACACACATGTACACTCCTGCGGCGTCTCCTCTCGGCTTCTTCAGGCTGCAGATCAGAAACACAGCTCACATGAACCCTGCTTATCTGTTTAACACTCTGACACACAACAGTAGTATACCGTTTTCCCTTACAAATATTCAGTGTTCCTATTGGGGCTGCGTGTTTCTGCGATCTCCTCCCCGTTCTTCATCCAGTAGCTCTCCTGGTGGACGCTGTGAGCGCTGGTGAGGTTACACTGCAGCATGTAAGAGTCGCCTTCCACAGGAAGTGAGGTGTGATCAGAGGAGGCGATCGACGGCTCTGTAGGAAAGACAAGGGTCAGCTACGACAGAAGGGAAGCTTGATGGAACTCGTGGGTGAGGGTGTGTTGGAGGATATTAACAACAACGCAGAAAGACACACAGCTAAAGACACTTTACCCACACATTCACAACATAGCACAGGAATAGAGTTGTGAAGTAGGAGGAATTATTTCAGGCATACAGAGTTCCTTAAGCAGAGTTTAATGCATCCTTAGGTGACTGAGAAGTGGGAGCTCTTCCAAGGCCCACGGTTGAATCATCAGTACAAAGATGTCCAACTGCATTTGAAAATATATTTTCCTTGATAAAAAATGTAAGGTTCAAGTCTGTCTGCATAGAAACGCAAGCAGTGAAGCAAACTACAGCTCCCAAGGTGCATTTCTGTTAAAACAATCCCAAAACAAACTTAAATTATTGTTAAATATGCCACTAACCATAAGCAACAATAAGCAAGGAGTAAAGCGCTTCTTCTACAGTCTGCAGCTCTACTACAACATATTGACCTTTTATGAGTAGTACCCATTTTGGGGAACATGGTTCAAGGTGAATTTAACTCTCTTATCTTAAATGAAGAGATTAAATACCTTTGAAGGAATACGATAAAAATTACACAATGGCCAATAACATAAGTCCACACTAACATAAGCTTGGTATCTGATTGAAATTCAACCTGTGGAAAATAGTTGCTTAGATAACCTTTAAACTGTGTTGCATGCTGCTTAATGTGATGATAGGCCCCTGGTGAGTAATCACAACACTTGTATATACAATACAGCTTGGCATGGTTTTGATGTAAATGTTGTCTCTACCTAAAAACAAAACAGTATCTAAGCTGTAAAACTACTGCTCAGATACATTGATCTAAAATGTTGCAAATATTTTTACTAGAATTCTGCAATAAACTGATCATAGAATAAGTAAATCTGATAGGAATATAGGACCGGACATTTGGACAAATCAGATTGAGACTATTAAAATAATAGTCAGAAAAGGAAACTGAAAATAATGAATACAGTCCAGGGAAATGAGAAGATGAGAGCTATAGGGAGAGAAAAACGAAGAAGAGAGAAAATGGAGACGAGATGTGGCTGCAGGTTTAAGGGATCTACTGTCACCGAGGGATGAGCACGATAAAACACTACTCCTCAGGTAAGAGTACATATAGACTAGTTGGTGGTGTTTTCTTAGTTTTCCAAGTCTGTAGGGGAGGATGGCACCTATGGAGGCAGCTAGAGGTTTGAGGGAGGCTATAGCGAGGGGTGGGAGCGGGGGTTTCCTCTACAGTGACCACTCACTCTGCAGCACCGTTATAGAGGCCTGCGCACGGATCCAGGTGGTGGCTGGATTTTGGTGCAGGTCATTACGGCGCGGGTCATTGCTGGCTCTGCACTCATAGGTCCCAACATCGTCCACCGTGAGACGCGAGACCCCCAACAAGCTCACGGCGTTGGAGCCGTAGGCCGTGTTGATGGAGACTCGCCGCTTACGGGCGCCGTCCCAAAGCTGCCTGAAGGAATCGGCCCGGTTGATCTCAGAGTACCACCACTGGATTTCGGGGGTGGGGTTTCCCACCACGTCACAGTACAGCTCAAAGGCGTCGCCCGTGAGCTTAGTCTCAGAAAAAGGTGATTTCACAAAGCCCGCTGGTGGTGGAGGGGCAGCATGGACAGAAAAAGGGGAACAGGTGGATGATGGAGAGGCAAGAAAATAACAGGGTAAATTAAAGTGGAAGCAGAAAAGAAACGAAAAAACTGAAAAAAAGATAATGTGAAATAATAAGAAAGACACTGATCGATTATCTTAAAATGGAAGAAAGGTTGATGAATAGAAAAAAGAAATATAAAATGTAGAAAATAATAGAGATGCAGCTACCTAATCTGTCACACATTATCCCTATTCATTGTTTGGTAATTAGAAAATGTCTATCACAATGTAGAGAGAGAGAGAGAGAGAGAGAGAGAGAGAGAGA